AATTACAGACTGGGATCCATGACAATATAAGTAAAGGTCAGGCTTGACTCAACTTAGACGCGATCTCATTATGTGGAGATCACGTCATTTGTGTCATTTGTGATCAAGACACAAACTCACCGAGTCACTTTCCAGCCATGCTAAATTACTTAAAAATACTCAAAACAACCCACAAAACTCAAAGAGTGACTCTGAAAAAAAGGCTCAGTCAGCATTTTTCCAGTAGCCACATTATCTTTGGCTTTAGAGTCCGTCCCCTATACAGGCCACTAACATCTGTGTTAAGATCTCATTTAAAATGCACCTTTCATGCTGTTGTATAATATGGCTCAAAATTGCACAACTTGGCTCAGTTGTGTAACAAAACATGTCAACCTACAATGTTTTAGAGCGGAAAAATCCCAATCCTGTCATCCACAAATTGATTGAGCTGGACCGGGTGATCCTGAATCCTTCCTTAGTTATGCTTAGTGTTTCTTCTTCACACTCTTTGTGTCCTCACACACACACACCACTCCTCATTTAACTACTTATTATTACTCCCCTGCTCTCTTCCACAGTGTGTCTTTTGTCCCGTCTTCTTCTGCTCACACCCAACGCGTGGCAGATAGCTGCCCCTCCCTGCGCCTGGTACTGCTGGAGGTTTCTTCCTGTTAAAAGGGAGTTTTTTCTTTCCACTATCGCCAAGTGTTTGCTCTTGAGGAGTGTTTGATTGTTGGGATTTTAACTCTGTTATTCTACATTACAATATAAAGCTTCTTGAAGCGACTGCTGTTGTGATCAGTTCAATAAAACTGAACTGAACTAAATGAAAATGAAAATGGAGTTAGAGTAAAAATGTGCCACACTCTTTCTGGGAGATGGATAAACAGATGAACGAGATGCGATAACTCTCACTCACATATAAATGTCTAACATCCTATTCGATAAAGCCACTTGATTAGAGGAAAGATGAAATCAATCAGCCTGATTTTCACTCCTAACTTTATGTAACATCCTCTGCCGTGCGGTGACGTAAAAGAGACGTCAGCCTGTTTTAACAAGCACCGCTGCACCGCATGGTCATGGGAAACTGAGATGCACTCAGCATTCAAGTGCTTGTCTCAGCCTGGTTTAAACCTCACAGCCTGTAAACCATGAACAGTGCAGTCCTTTAAAGCTTTGTTTCATAGGATAGTGAAGCCGGGTGATTTTAACAGCTGGTAGCTGATTGTTCAAATATCAGGAGGTATCTGGTTTAGACTAAGGGTAAAGCATGAACACAGTATAGTGGGATTATTGTGAATATTCATTCTGTCATTGAGGTAATTATTCATGCATCGTTACAGAAGGAGCTTGATCAATAACTTCTTTCTTAACTTCTGTGCTGAGACCTTAATGAGGGGGAAACAGAGGTGCAAGGTGCAAAGGTCATTTTGTAGTTTTTAATGCAGAGGCAGACACAGTATTAAAGTATTTGAGACTACCCACTTGCCAGTTAACAAATCAAGTTTTTGTTGTGCAAAATACCAGCCTTATGGCCAAATAACTTACAAGGTAATTTCTTAGACAGCACAGTTAGAGAGGGGAGAAGCAGAGAACCTTGCAGTTGTTGGCTAATATTTTATCTCCACCTGTGCCAGACAATGAATGTCAGTGTTACATCTAATCTGTTAATTGTTGAGTTTTGATCCAATTGCTTAATAACATTTGTATAATAAATCAGTTTTTACACATTTAAATAAATAAACAATTCAACTCTTAATGGTTACCAAAAAAGGATAATACTGTATCGTACTGTACTTGTACTACGGAGCTGTCACTGTAACTTGTGCAGGCCTTCAACACAGTAAAAGGGTGCTATCTAGTGGCAGAAAGAAAACAGGGTATGTCCAGCATGTTTCACAGCTGCATATTGACATCATTGCAGACGTCAGCACAGCACAGACACTGCAGTCACAATTATGCTGTTACACCTTGTGATTCACACTCTTTTTTTAATTAGATATATTGTGCACAGCGTAGATGGAAACGAGAGATGAGGCGATTGGGAAACATTCGGGCCTCGGTTTAAAACAATTGAAATGATCGTTTTATGTAGTTTGTAGTATTCATCTCGACATATTCTTTTCCACATAAAGCATAAATGTTTAATTAGGTGAGCTATGTTTGTGTGATCTTTGTATTAGCTTGTCATATTGAAAGATTTTGCGGTATTTGTAGAAGATATGCAACATTCAGAAAGCTGGTAGCAGTAACCAGATATTCTATTTTATATTTTTATATTATGTTTGAGATGCTCTTTCGTTTAAATGAACATCATTTTTATTTTTTTGTTTTAAATCTAAAAGCACACTGTCATTGTAATGGCCCTTTTTTTACCACAAGATGGCTCCAGATACATACAGCGATACATTTTAAAAAGCATGCTGTTCATTTCTTCAGTTTTAACCTGATCATAAATACAATCCAGAGGATGAGCATTAAAATTACATATGAGCATCATAAGCATCTATCAGAAATCCGCAGTTTCTTTATGTTTTTGTGTTTGTGTGTGCACATAATGAACCTGCTTTTCAAAGAGACCTATAGAGGAAAGAAAAACTGCCAGTAAAGGAAAATAAAATGACTCCAGTGATTCTTGCAGTATAGTAGAAGATTATTAATTAGGGATACCGTGGTACATTGTCCTCAGGGAGTGGAGTGTTGGAGGTTCTCAAAAGCAGACACTGCACTTGTGGCACCGAAGGGAATTTGCAGGTTTGCACCTTACCTGTTTTATTAAAACTCCTGAGACTGATGCTCAGTGCTAGTATATAACACCATGCATGGTGTGTGGTAGTTTTTGTGTGAGTGTGGCAAAAAAAAAAGATGGCCGAGGAGCGAATTAATTAATGAAAAAGCTTTCCAAGATGTATATTTAAAGCAGTAGGGGTAAAGCGTGTGCCGTCGTGTGCTCGCATGTGTGATGTGCCACTGACACCGTCACATGCTAGATTAAGCAGTTTCAGAAACGTGCACTTAAAAACAGTACAGCCTATTTGTGGCTGGCCATCTCTGTAGTGTTTGCAGCGGCGGGTATTTTTTAAAAAAGCAAGGAGTGTTATTTTAGACATTTACACGTGAAATGTCACATTAAAAACTTTTGTGAATGTATTCTCAGCCACGAGGTGTTCCATGAACTCTTCACAATATTACTTTGTTAATCATCTGCCTGGGTTTGCAAAGGCCAAATTTGCTTTGAAAACAAAAGCCCAGAATATTTAAATAGAAATTTCACTTATTTTCTTATTCCTCCAAACAAATCCTCTGAAAACAAGCACATTTGTGTTTCCTACCTTTTTTGTGTTATTTCCCAGAGGTACCTGCACTATCAGATCAGCTCCAGTACCACCATGAATACTAGCGGTATGGGGATACTGCAGTATCCATCCGATACTAAGTAAATATTGTATTGCCAGTATTGCCAATAGCAATACCAATACTGATGCTTTTAACATATAAAGGCAGTGTATGTAGGGGTGAGCAGTGTATCGAGATTTATGGCATGAGTCAGCATAAGTTTGCAAATTCTAAACACATTTTAATGATCCCTGCGATTCTACAATAATCATTTAATAGAATAAAAACACACCTTTCAGCTTTTGATGGGTTTTGAAACTGGGTTTATAGCTCATTTAAACAACTTCTGTTGTTTAAATGAACTATAAACTATAAATAAATAGGCTCAAGTCTGCCCACTGAACTGGATAAGCAGCTAATAAGATGGATGGCTTTTTCAACTTTTTAAAATCCATTTCCATATTTATATAAAAAGATATCCCCTTGCTTTTATCATTACAATTAATCTAACCATCTACAACATTTAGCCAACAAGTAGCTACAGATATTTTACCATTTAATTGAATGCTGAATATCTGATACTTTTAGGCCAGCCTTTCACTATAGTGAGTCTTTTCTAATCTTGACATATCCCCTGGAAAACACAAATGTACCCTGGTGTATGATGACTCTTTTAGATGAACATATATAAAATTTAAGAGTAACTCTTATTGTGTATTGCTACTGAGCCCTATAGTTTCCTTTAGTAGTGTTAAACACAAAGGAAATGATCTGAAAATAAAACCCCAACCCTTAGATAATGGGATAGCTGTGCTTGAGTTAGGTATTCTGCTACTCCATCGTCTCCTGCTACTGTCTATGACACATTTGTTGTTGTGTTTTTGCAGTGTTGCCTTAGTTGCCTGGAAAAGATGCCAGGACCTCTCTTTGTGGGGGGTACGGCTGTGGGGAACTGCATTCAGACCATTCAGGAGCGTGAAAATGGGGGATGGAGGGGATTATACATACACTGGCACTGGGCCTGGCTGTTGCCATGGCACACCCATTGTCCCCGAGCACACGGGCATGGCGGAGAAACCTCGAGTGAAAATGTGAATGTAGTAATTTTTCACTTAGGGGTTGATTTGAGTAATTGCAGCTACACTGTATAGTGAAAGATAATGAATTGCCAAGTGTGTTAGAGATATCTGGGGTAGACGGAAGGTCCAAACAATGCACGCGGACAGTAAAACACTCAACTCAAAGTCATCCTTTTGTACTGAATTTCCTTTTGTCTCGCAGTCAACACATGCACTCATATATGGCCACTCTTTAACAAAAGATGAAGGTTTTGCAGCTGTTCTTAGGCTGCATTTTAAACTCCCGGTAAGTCTCAGCTCCAGAGTAGTATGACTCATGAGAGGAAGGTAATCACAGGCAATGATGTCGACCGCTGCAGGGCAAGCCCCGTTGTGGAGGAATACCCTTGAGAAAGTCCACGCCGTCTGCAAACGACTGCTCATATAGGTCTTGGGATTGCCCTGGCCTCACAGCTAATCATAGCTGTCCTTCTATACCGTCTAAGCGTCACTGTCCAATCGACGTGTAGCTTGGAGCAGCTGCTTTCACACCATTGGTCGAGCTAAAACAGGGGCGGTTTTTTCCCCTCTGCTCGCTCCAACAGCACCATCTCTGGCAGGTGGTGTGCGCTCTTAAAGCGTAAAGTAGGCTAATGTGTAGGACGATAGGTAGGTAGTCGTAGTGAAAAAAAACACCGCGTAGGGTATTAAATTTTTTTGTTTTTTATTATTATTATTTTTTGAGAGGGTTGCCAGATTTGCAGTGCGCGTCGCTACGTTTCCTTTACACCCAGCGGAGTCGCAGTGAGTGAAATGAGCATCGGGGTTCCCCTCTCTGAGCCAGACACTTAGTGCTTTACGGTCAGCGGCGAATTTAGACAATTGCTCCTTCATCATGCAGCTCCAGATAAAAAGACGGAGAAGCCCTACGTGTTGATAAAATCTCGCCGGCGGTATAAAGTGTGAATGAGAGAAAGCCTCCCCCCCTTCCTCCTTCTCCTCCTCCTCCTCCTCGTCCTCCGGGCCAACGACCGACGAGCTCTCACATCCTGGAGCTGCCTCACTTCGTCCGCCGGCGTAGCATACAACATGATATGTTGATGACATTTTTTGGAAGTGGTCGTGCCTTTTGTTTACACGCCGGGATACGTGATATGCGGATCTGCGAGCGCCACGAAAGCCAAGCGAGCGGACGGTTTTTTCTGCTTTGAAAATGAGGAAGCAATTTCATAAAGACCCAGAAAATGGCAAGAAGGTCTCGTCGTCCGTGGGCCCGGATTTGAGTAAAATGAGAAGGAAAGAGGCAAATGCAACAGCAGCATGATTTATTACTGTTATCATTATTTTTTAAATCTGACAGAATGACACCAAAGGGGGTAAAACTGGAGGTAGATGAGACACAGCATCAATGAAGGCGATCTGCACAAGTTTTAAGTCGCTCATGATGAACAGAAATACTTTGCAGCTCGATATCAGATCGTTTCCACAATAGTGAAAGATTTTTTTTTTCTTTTTCTTTTATTTCTTGCCCCGGCAGATTTTCTAGTTAATCACTCATCTGCTTTTTTCCGCATTGCATCTGCTGTCTTTTTTCCCATTAAATATTTCATTTTTTTTCCTATATTTTTGATCCGGATTCAGCCCTGACTATTCAATGGAAGTATGTTATCAGCTGCCGGTTTTGCCTCTAGACAGGCCGGTTCCCAAGCATGTCCTCAGCCGAAGGGGAGCCATTAGTTTCAGCTCCAGCTCTTCTCTCTTCGGGGCTCCTGATCCAAGACAGCTGTCACAGGTAAAACACGTATCATTTCCTATCATCTGATCACAGTGGGCTCGATTATTTTATTTTATTTTTATTTATTTTTTTGGGGAGGGGGGGGGCACATGCGTCTTAAAACCCACATCATTTTCAGAAACCATTTAAATAATCCACAGGAATCTTGCAGGTGGTTGCTGGATATTTAGGCCCCATTTCTCTCTCTCACACACACACACACACACACACACACTGCGAGAGCTCTCCATCAGAGGCATACTGTATATTCTTATCTTCAAGAGCCTAAGACACACAGCAAGTCATCACCCAAAGCCAACTTTACATTTGTGTATGTTTCCCCCTGATAAAGGCCTCTTCAGCTTAAACTTTGTAGCCTTCCTCAGAACCATGATGCTGAGGTGTACCAGCTCACTCCTGGGAGTCAGAGGGAACGTGCCACACAGTTATTTATGTTAACATGCTGGGAGGAGAGCTTAAATCATTGAGTCATGCTTGAACTTCCTACTTTCTCAGAGTGTTGAATTCTTGAACATGTCCCTCTGGTGAGCCTACCTTTTGTTTATTCCTCTTGCTTCTCAAAACAGCCTGTGTGTGTGTAGGGCACAAAGCGGGGGTCATGTTCTGCTTGACTGCCATGTACACACAGACACTGGCAGGCAGCACAGTGCATTTTGAATACATTAGCCAATCGCTGAACCACATTTGAGCACGTGTCTGAGGTAATGGTACCATCTCTTTGGCCTTTGTCCAGCGCACTAGTTTAATCAAGGCATGTGCCTGCAATGCCAGCTCACAACAAAAAGCTGCACGTCATGTCACCAGTCAATGAAGTCCCTTCTCCACGGTGTCGCTCCTTTTAAAAAGGGAAGCATCGTTACTATTGATTCAGTGTTTCTTGACAAAAGTAGCAGCGGAGTGTATTCTCGTGCCGTTGGGGTCACATCCTGCTAGTTGCTTGTGAACAGAAACTCCCACGGTGTTGCACGGCACCTCTCAGCCCATTAACTGAGCATTAAGCAACTGTCTATGACTACGTGAGCGTCCTCTTCAATGGGCCATCCATTAGTTCTTTGTACAGGACCCTGCTCCACATATCCACCCATGTGTGTCTCTGCTTTGAGCCTACATCCATCCTCACAGGCAGCCCCTTCAAAGACCGATTCATAGGCCTGTTGTCAGCACTCTTTTTTTTCTTTTTTTTTCTCACTGGGTCATTAGTGTTTGTCCTTTGGTGACCAATATCATGCAATCTTGGATAAGTTGGCTGGACCATGTGGTCACTCAATAACACTCTCTGAACACACTGTGCAAACATCTCTCTCTGAGTCAGTCAGGAGGCTTTTCATAAAACCAATTCAACATCCTCAAACTGGCCTTGCACAATGGTGGTTTCTGGACCATAGGCCAAAGGAGAATTCCTTGGGGGAAATCCTAAATCCTTATAAGGAAATCAATATAAGTATAATGCTGCATTGTTCCTTTTATGTACAAACAGAATCCGTGAAGCCGTTCTGTCTCCTGCTCACGTTGATCTCTCAGTTCGGCCGGTCTGCCTTCACAGCCTTTGCTTCTTTGTCATAAAAAGTGCACTGTTTAGTGTTAAAATCATTTCCCATGAAACTGGACTGGAGAAGGCTTACAAACACTGCAGACAACATTGAGACCAGCCTACGTTGTAGTCATTTGTCTTTATCCCTTGTGAACATCGGCAGAATTGGGTGAACATGCTTGCATACGGCAGTGTCACTCAGCCTTTGTCACCAAGCAATTACACTTCTACAAATATTGTTTTTTGGGCCCTATTTATGACCATAAGGGTGCATTTGTCCTTGGTGGCTGCTGTGTTTTTGTGTGTGGTTCCACAGGCCTGTTGTTTGTGGAAGCGGGGCTGGACTACCATTGCAGAAAGAGGCAGTTAGGCATGGGCCTCAGCTCTGTGGGCAGTGGTTTGGCTTGCTGCCAGGCTCACAGATGGTCGAAGTCTCAGTCCCTTTTCTTTTCTCTGGCTATCTTGTTCCGCTCACTCACAAGCTCCCTCTTTTTCTTTCTCTTTCTCCGATGCACCCCTCCCCTTCCCTCGCCGATGAAGACATTTCCTCTCGTAAACAGTGGACGAAAGAGTAGGGTCGGAGTCTCTGAAGAATATGTCACTCTGTGACTGTGGAATTGTTATGATTGGGTGTAAATATGCCGTTGAAGAGGCGTTGAAAACAGCAACGGCATTAAATAAACGGGGCCCATTTATCCATTACAATGCCTCCATTGTCTTTAGCACAATGGGTGTTGTAAGTTGATCAAATCCCAAAAGTGGGGTGAAAGATGAATTAGAATTTTCCTGGAATATGGCGTCGCATTGGCTTCTCTTGGAAAAAGAGAGAACCAAAGACACGAATAAGTCAGATTAGGTTGATGCAAAATGAAAGGACCAAGAGGAGGACGCTGCAAAGAGTCATGTGGTTCTCATCTAAACTACAAAGCACAAATGCATTTGCACACAGCTTGACAGTATGTTACTTGTGTTATTACATACATCTCATATTAAGAGATGATGCACAGAGTGGGAACGAGAGTTTCTCATCTTTTTGTTTGGCTGTCGTGAGCTGCTGCCAGTAACGCACGGTCACACGGTTGCGATAAGGCTTTAAACTTTCAGAAAGAAAGATCCTGCGGAGATAAAAGGGGGTCAATAAACAAATACGGAGTATTGATGAAGCCTGAGCAGTGCGATGATTTTTGGTGATAAAGGGAGGAACGCAGCTTTAGACTGGGAGAACTGATCTGCTATCAGTTCGTCATATCACAGTGAGAGATATCATCAGTGCTGTAGTGGCTGCTGACCCAAGATTGGCTCCTCATTTGAGATGTTTACGCACAAGAGGAGATGATGATGATGATGAGAAGCCCGTGCATAAGGGTGGAGGCTGGCACTGCTTGTTTCATTGCTGCTGTGGGTGTTTCTGTGGAGAGGTCGATAAGGGAATACAGTGCCGTGCTTTTTTTTTTTTTTTTTTTGTGGGAGTTACTTTGTTGATTTTAACTGAACCGATAAGGTTTTTTTTGGTTGGTTTTTTTTCCTCCTGTGCAGTGCCATCAGATTGACGTCGTTTCAGGATGTGGTAAGAATGCTGAAGGAGCCGTTCAGACTCTGAGCCTGGTGTTTCACAACCTTTCACAAAAACATTTAACCCCTGCGCCGCCAAAACTTTTCACGCTGAATTCACACAGTTGAGCTGGAATGTACTGTGCTGCTTGCCGATAAGAAGGCGGGGGATTGCGGGTGTTTATTAACCCGCTGATTAATAAAGAGGAGCCAAATATTGCACCCTGTCTTCATTCAACCATACACACTCCTCACCCTTTCTGTTTGTCTCCCTGTCTCTGCAAGGGGCCCCCTCTTATCACGTGACTGATCTGTTTTTGTGCTGCAGCGTCGAGTGCTGTCGGCCACGAGAGTGTGGCTACGCACTTCGACAGCCACAACATCAGCGCTGCTTGATTTTTATTCTTATTTACTGTGGCTTTATTGACGTATGAGCCTATACAGGAAGGGAGTCTATTTCTCAGTGCTACTGGTTTCAAACCTCAGACAGATCGCGCTGGTTGGTGACCTGGGTTTTGTTTGTTTTCCTCAGAAGGCTCTAAGGAGGGACGGGGCATGAAGTTGGCCCCGAGAGGCAATTAGAGCCTGGGGATGATGTTTGAGATGAATGAAATTCCTGTGCAGCGTAGACTTACAGTATGCGTGTATATAAGGCCCTTTTAAGCACTCGGTGTTTAAAAAAAAAAAAAAAAAAAAAAGGAATTTATGACACACTTGGCGACTAGTTAAAAGTTAAATAACAATAAAAAATCACTGATTGTGGATATATGACTGCTTGACAGGCAGGCCGCCTTGTAACACTGCTCACTGCTACACTCGTCATCATTTGCTGGCCAAGATATCAGGCCAATTCACCCCAGGCCTCTCCTCCAAAGCAGCGGGCGTCTCGCAAAAACTAACTGCAGCTGCAAAAACTAACAGTGGACACAGTACTCATAAAACACTCTTCCAGCAGGTAGACTCTATCCAGGGTTTTAGTGTATGTAGTGGCTAAAATATATATTACACACACA